CCCCCCTCAATCATCGGTGAACGAAACTGTGGCAGCTACAACCAGTGTACGACGAGTACGCGGTTCTTACAGCTGACAATGATGATGATGACGATGGGTCGGTGGGGGAACCTACATGAGTTTGGGTCCAGCCTAGGGTCTAGTTCTTCTGGTTCGGTTGATTTGGTGGTTCCTCTTGAACTTCATTTGAACCTTCTGTCAGTTTGTGTGAGTGAGCTAGTGCTAAGAAAGTTGTGTAAGAGGGATGCTGTGACCTTTGGTCGGTTGGGGTTTCCACCCCCACCCCCCAGTTTTTCCTAATGATCCTACGTGGATTGACAACCACACCGCCACGTGTCAACTCGGCTTATCTAAGACCGCTTTCCATACGCTCACCAGTTCCACACCCTCGATTCTATTCACGCTGTGGGGCTTAGTAATTCACACCGCCTCGGCTATCAGACGCTGTGGTGTGTATCGCAATCCCCGTCTTAAAACTTCCACATTCTCCATATCTATTCTATGTCCCGTGTCTAAGACAAGTACCGCCATTGCTGAGTCTTTGACCAGCGTTTGGTATTCTTCTGCATTCCTTGGTGGTTTGTTAATCCTTCTTTTACGCTCACCAATTCTGGTGTGCAATTCCCTGGCTGAAGATATTTCATGTACACCACCGGAAGTCGCCAAGTCTCATAATCGTGCAACAATACAGTCAGCAATTTGGTTTGATGCATGCGTTCTTTGCAGAAAAGCTTTTTGCATGACACAAGATGCGCAGTCTGCCAAACGCAAATTTGCCATTAAGGTCGGCGCAATACCGTCAGGACTGAGTTAGCGCTCATCCCTGAATTCCTAGATTGTACGTGCCGCATAATGACTTTGTACGTTGTGGATCAAAAGCATACGTCGGGGGATTATGGGATCTTTGACAGCTTTCCTCACTTGTTTGTCAAAAGTGAGAACAACCTCGTCTGTAAATTCCATGTTTACAAGGTTCTCGCTCGAGGAGATCCGAACACCGAGGTTTTGGAAACCAGTAGAGTTTGTCACATCATCGTCAACGGAACCAAACAAAAAGGCATTAACAATCGTGTTGAATACCAGTGCTTATAGAAGAGTTTTTGAAGAGCTCCCCCTGCACTCTCACATCCGCAAGTATATAAATACACAGAGCGCATAATATTCACGAATTCTGGAGAACAACATGTTGCACAAGACATGTTGAGAACGAACGGGTTGACAGAATCCAGCGAATCAAAACCAAGGAAGAACAATAGTGCAAAGCACTTCGATGCACGCTGTCAACATTTGACGGTCAGAGTCCTGCTTGCTGTTCTCCAGTCAGGTAATGCCGTAAGACGAAAAACGGGCTATCTAAAGAATCAAGTTCCAACAGGGATGATAGCCACAGGCGGTGCGAAATAAGGCACTACAGCCAACTTTGTCTAGTTGGTTTGGATGATCTTTTTCATCCATATAGAGGTAAATAAGTTGGATGATAACTGACCGAGCAGTTTGCTTCCGTTTTTAAACAGAGCGGGTGCAGTTTTGTCAGCTCGAAGAGCTCAGTGGTGCTTGATGGAGAAATTCACGTGTTTCCGGAGCTGAATAAGTGTGTTGGGGATGACATTATCCATCAAAACTCCGTAGTAATTTATTTATTGGCAAGCTCATTTTCTGAAATTCGAGTTTTGTTTTTTGGCGTCCTGTTCTGCGATATTGAGTATAGGTTCCAAAAAATCACTCTTCTTTCCACACTGCGTATGATAATGCATTTATTGTTCTCCCAGGTTCCAAAATATATATTCGGGATTGCTCCCGTTGTACGTTGCCCTTGGATGAGACAGTAAAAGCCCGCTTGCGAAAGTTCGGTCTTCTACGCTCGTAATGGTTAGGCTCGCGTTGTAGCTTGGAATGGGGCGAGATGGCTCAGTGATTAGAGCTCGAATTTACTAACCGGAAGGTCCATAGTTCGAACCCGACCTCTGCCTCTTGACTTCCCCTGTCTACGCTTGGGCAACCTGGCAGTAATCCAGCCTTCGTGCTTCCCTCGGGTGGCATGGCAATTAGTCACCGAAAAGGTGCTACAAATGAACAATTCACTTCAAATTTAGTAGCTGGCGGTTGTGCGCCCCTTCTTATACCACGTTTAGCAGCTGATCGCATTCGTCTATAAGCAACGAGTTGGCCAGTTAAATTGTTGTTTAAAATGTTCAGTTCAGTGATTTCACCGTTCTTTTCTAGGGACGAGGAAGCCAATTTAACCGCTGACTGTCCCAGTCATCAGGAGTTTTCTGTACTCGTACAGACTCACCAGCTGGAAGTTTCACAACACTTCGCAGTTTTTCCCTTTGTCGGACTCCTCATCGTTCCGAATCCACTGAGACCCTTATCAACGAGGATGCGCATTTTTACTTAACTTCAGTTATTGATCCCCATCACGTATGCCTAATTACGATAGCGTTTATGTGAGTATGAACCATGTGATCAAGCAGTTTCGGCTGTTTTGAAAGTAACTGCTACATGAAAATAATATGCAGTCTGTCGGTAGTGTCCTTACGTCTCAACTTTCGTTACAGACGACCACTGAGGTTGGCAAAATATGCTCTGGCCTTTCCGATTCAAGAAGAAATCTAATCTACAACCAGTTCACTGGAACTTATACAGCTGCCCAGGTAAACAAATTCACCTACCACGTCGACTGGCTCACCTGCAAGCATGAGGTGCGGGTTTGATCCCATCCAGTCTTGCAGCAGCACTTTACACTTTGCAGGTGTGAAGCGCATGCAAAACCGTGCGGCAGAGTTATATAAATTATTTAAAATCGTTTTCATTTGGGAAAGATCTGAGCCAAGGAGAGCAATAGCGTCTGCATACTCAATGTCTGTGGGAGAACATCCCGGGAGCATTTCGACCCCGAGGTCTCAGAGGTAGGGATAGAAATCTCTAGCAGCATATCAATAACAAAGTTAAAGAGGGAAGGGAAAAGAGGACAGCCTTGTCTTAGGCCAAAGAACATGGTGAACTCAGGCGAAAGCTTCCCGCAAAGTTGTACGCGCCCAAAGGGGTTCGCATAAAGCGCCCTCATAAAGGAGAAAAATTTGGAAGGCACACCTTTGATTGCCAGATACTACCAAAGTTGCAGACGACCGACAGAATCGAAAGCAGCTGTAAAATCCAACAAACTATCAACGTAGGACGTCCGAAGGAGTGGCGCTGTTCGATATTGGAATGACGGTCAAGGAGCTCCATTTGCCCGTGCTCTGTTTTCGTTTCAAACCTGCTGCAGTATGGATGTTCACCAGGAGCACGCCATCTTTTGAGGATGCGGAGTAAAGACCATTCGGGCCAGGAGCCTTGTTGCGTTGGAGGATGGATATCTCACGCTGGATTTCAGTTGCAGATGGGAGCCTGGTGTCGATATTCCACTCCGGTTCGCTGGGATATCCCAGCGGTTGTGTTGAAGGAGACCAAGTGAACTGTTATTGAAAGTGCTCAGCCCACCGATCAGGATGGCGATTGAGGGAGTGAATTGCTGTTCCGTTTTTTTCGCATATTCTCTCAAATATCTGCCTTCTTTTGACTCGTCGGTCGGATCAGTTGAAACAGGGCGCGACTGTTGCCTGTAGGGAGAGGGCGTTCAGCTGTAGAGCCACTTTCGATGCTCGTACAACCATGACCTACACAACTAACAGTATTCTCACGCCACATCGGCCGTCGCGTGGTGCCATCAGCCGGGTCGCCTTACATGCTGCATACAGCAGGGCGGGTAAGCGAAAACATGCTACTGCTGACGCCTCCCTTTTCACACTTTCACGTTTTCCGTCTTCCACCCACCCCCGCCCAAATTTGAATACTTTATCCGCAGGTCCCAG